CCCCAAAACCCCAAAACCCCAACTGATACAATAGATCAAGCTTTCTAGTGATTAATCAATACTATTAATTAATATTGCTGTTTAAATGTAGTTCAAGTTCGATTAGGAAAACATGATCTAGCTTCTGGTCATGATAGCCTTTTACTTCATAGTTAAATACTTATTTAAGAAATCTGATGAGGAGGGTAAAGAATTTAGACAATTAAACAATACATCATTTAACCTTCCTAAAGAAGGAGGAGCATTATAAAATCTTCCGAAAGATTCTGACAAGAACATCTAATTGAAATTAAAAGACAAAACTTAGCTAAGTAGAGACTCATATCAATTTAGATTTGAGATTCCTAACAGCAAAATGTGTATGGGCCTAGCTGTTGGTCAGCATGCTATGTTTAGTGCTTAAATCTAAACCAAAGATAAACCAAATGGCGATTTAGTATAGAGAAAATATACACCTGTAAGCGCAATCAATTAAAAAGGCTACGTTGATTTCGTCATCAAAATTTATAGAAGAGATTCTCACCCGAGTTTTCCAGAAGGTGGAGTAATGAGCTAATACTTAGAAAATATGCAGGTTGGACAATCATTACTAATGAGTGGACCATTTGGTAGAATACTATATTAGGGTTATGGAAAGTTTTTGATTAGCAAATAAGTAACTATGAGAAATAAGATAGGGCTAGTAGCCAGCGGAACAGGTATTACACCTTGCTATTAAATAATCTAAGCAGCTTTAGCTGAAAAGGACGACACTGAACTTACCCTAATTTATGGAAGCAGAACTATTGGCGATATATTATTGAAAGAGTAGCTAGACTAATTTAGAAATTCAAATCCAACATCATTTAAACTATTCTATACTATTTATGACGAGACTCCTAATCCATCCTGGGAAGGTGGTAAAGGCTTTATTGATAAATAAATGCTTGCATAAAATTTACCCAAGCCTTCACCAGATACTATAATACTATATTGTGGTCCTCCTTCATTTGATAAGGCAATACTAAATCATCTCTAAGAATTGGGTTATGACAATACAATGATCCAAAAATTCTGATATATTTGCTTTTGAGCTAAATTTCTATTAAAAATTTTTTCACCATACGATAAAATGGATTTAAAATGACGGGGTTTTGGGGTTTTGGGGTTTTGGGG